GATTATAGATACATGGATTTGTTTATCTATGTTCAAGCTGTTTTGTAATTTTTGCTTTGAAGTGAAATTGCAGAAACCTGTTTGTTTTCTACGTAGCTTGATGATTTAATATCTTCTTTTCACTTTGCATGGGATTAAATTGGATTTACATTTTCTGTTTGTTTATTTTATCTGTTTATATATTTGTTTGTTATGACAATTTGCTTGTTATAGTCTGTAGATGTGTGCCTATTTGGTTTATTTCACTTTCTTTTGTTTTGTGTTTTTTCATGGTTTCAAGCTTTATAAATTAACCCTTTCATTCTCATGAAATGTTTGATTGAATGTTTATTTGAAACATGAGCTTTTGGACGGTCTGTTGCATTGGATTAAATTAGTTTTGGGTAATATGAGTATAGATTTCTTATGGTCAAAATAATCATGTAAAACATTTCTAAGTGCATCCTATAATAGCTGAACTATTGATGCATTATGTTCTCAGTTTCTTCGATCTTCTCCTGCAAAAATTCCATTGTTTTTAGCGTTAATATATTTTAGTCAATGCTTTTCTTCATTAGGAAAAATAAAAAAACTGTTTGGATCACTTTGGATAGCTTTAATTTAGTATTTTGGTCAAAAAATATAATATACTTTTGTGTATTGGGTATTTCTGGCTTCATGCACCTAAATGCTCGTTGTTGACTACAGAGGTTTTGGTTCCACTAAGAAGCCCCTAGTCCTATGGAATAGTGTGATTTGTGTTGTGCTTTCGGTTATTTGAACGGAAAGAAATACAAGATTTTTAATGATAAGTTTGAATAAGTTGCAGATCTATAGGGGAAGATTTTTTACTTGTCTCCTTTTTGGGTTTCAATATCAATATCTTTAAAAGAATGCCTTTGTTTTTTTATTTCTAGATATTGGAAATTGTCTGTTATGTGTAGTTGTGATTACCTTTTCTCTTCATTTTCTTATGCTTTGATGGACTTCTTGTCCCCCTTAGCGTACTTTGTACTTTCTTTATTATCTGATTTTAATAATTAGTTAGCCCGGAGCCAAGCGAATAAGGACCAAATATCAAAGTCTGTGATAATCACAATAGATCACTCAAAAAATATAATGCAAAAATGAATTGCTACAAATGCAATTTCTAATAATCAAATAATATATTTCCCAATAGTTTCCGATTACTACCCATATCCAGTAGAACATCCAAATAGTTTACCATTTGACCAAGGAAGAATTCAAATGTAACACCATATAAAAAAGATACAGTAGGCCTAGTAATTCATATTTTTGCATCAACTTGTTGTCTCCACTTTTACATGCTTCAAGTTAACCAACCAAATGGGTTGTCACTTTGAGTGTTGCCTAGTCTATGAACTTTTTGAAGTATTATTGCAATTCTGGAACATTATTAATAAGTGGATGTGATTTTTTATATTAAAAAATTATAGATACATGATCAAGAGGAGTGGGAAAAGTATAGAAAGTGGGTAGCCACCTGTGTAGCTATGTATGATTCATATGCTATCAGCCTTGTCTCAATTCTTCATTGACGTGATCATATAAGGAAGTCAATTTCAGAACAAGGAGAATATGAAAGATGTGTCCTAATTAAAAGGCTAACGACTTTGGAAGATACAGATTATAGTAGCCAGTTACCCATGAGCAAAGATGCGTTTGCTACACTAGTTAGCATGCTTAAAAGAACTCAGTTTCTTAGAGACAATCCTCAAAGTAAAGTAGAAGAACAAGTTGCAAAATTCTTTCATAATTGGCAATAATTTAAGGAACCGTATAGTCAAATTCTTTTACAAACGATCTGGTGAGACTGTTAGTCGACATTTTCATCAAGTTCTTAAAGCCATTATATCATTAGAAGATATCTTTTTAAAGCAATCTGATGGATTCAACTGCCCTCCAAAGATTCGAAACAATCCCAAGTATTGGCCTTATTTTAAGGAAGTTACATGAATACAATTAAGGTATATAATATTATATGTTTGGATACAAATAATGAATTTTTATAGGATTGTGTTGGTGCGATTGATGGTACACATTTTCGTGTAAGAGTGCCAAACAAGGATGCACAAAGATACTGAGGACGAAAATGCTATCCCACTCAAAATGCTTTGGCTCCATGTTTTTTTGATTTAAAGTTTACATATATCTTTCCGGGATGGAAAGGATCTGCTTCAGACTAGAGAATATTAGATAATGCATTAACAAGAGAAACGGATTAATTGATCGTTCCTCAAGGTGATCACTGAACGTGTATATATGCTGATGAATATAAATCTTTTTTTGTTTTCTTTCAAACTAATATCATTTAGTTACTTATTGGTCCTAGGGAAATATTACTTAGTAGATGCAGGATTTCAACTAAAAACTGAGTTCCTTGCTCCATATAGAAGTACTCGTTACCATTTGAAGGAGTATAGTGTTCATCAACCAGAAAATTCTCGAGAGCTTTTCAACCTTCATCATGCATCTTTGCAAAATGTAATTGAAAGAGCCTTTGGTGTCCTAAATAAAAGGTTTCCAATTTTAGGAAGTGGGACAGAGCCATATTATGATGTTAACACTCAAGAAGATATTGTTTTGGCCTGTTGTATTTTGCACAAATGCCTCATGGGTATTGACCCCAATGAAAGTCTTATTGAGGAGGTTGATACAAAGCTTAGAAGAGCACAAGTGCAAACTAATGTGGCTAGATCAAGTTTAGCTAAAGAATGTATGGAAAGAAAATTGTTAAGGGAACGAATAGCTACTGACATGTGGAGGGATTATGATATAAATCTTCCATGACAATCAAATTATAATATAGATCCTAGAAAACAGAGAGGGGCTGGAAGGGTTATTTGATGTTTTTGTTCTTGTTCTTGCGATGTACTCATTATGTACTCATTTGCTTTACATCAATATAATCTTTTTCTTTTGTTGATAAAATAAAAAATTGACAAGTTAATTATTATTATTTGAATGTTATCTTGGAATGAATTATATTTTAATTTGTTATTGTATTATGTGAAACATTGCGTTTGTGTCACACCCCAAAATTTAGACAATTAAATATTAAATTAGGACTAAACTCCAATCAATATTCCATTATCCAAATCCTAGGGGTGAAACAAAAAAATTAAATGCCAACCAAACCATCTACCATAATCTCATAACTATGTAATACCTCCAACATTAAAGTAACAATATATAATCAAAATAACTTAAATAATGTATGGTTACAAACCATGCCAAATTATCTCAGTACTAAAGTCATAAAAAAAATAAAGAAATACATAAATTAATATCAACCCTAAGTTGCAGAAAACAAAAGAAGTCCAAACGACAAGTCCAACAACTATAGTAATTTCATGTCACCACCGTAGCCCCAACTAATCCTACAAAGGAAGCTTGACTGCACTCAAACAGAACGCACCCGAGTTGCCAAAAGACAAAACGGGTCAGCATACAGGTATACTGGTATGAGTACAAGATTTAACTTCCACGTGTCCACTAGACACAAACAAAAATACATTTAATTCTTGTTACGGGATAAGACAAGTAGTTCCAACTGCACCGAGACGAATGGGTAATTTCCCGAGATACAGTGGCATTTAGTTTCTTGCCCGTACACAACGAAATATAAATTGATTATAAAATATAAAAAAAATATGGTAGGTCAACCCTGCATAGAAAAAAGTTAGTAAGACTCACCAACCTGCAAAAAATAAAGTTAGTATAATTTAATTATAAGTAATTTGCTAAAAAAGTATAAAAATGCACCGTTTCATGCTTAAATAATTTGAATTGACCAAAACTCAAAGAACAAAAGTTGTACATAATCAAATTTCCTAAAATATATTGCGGATGAATTTAGTAGAAACTGAATAGGTTGAGAGAAAAACTTAATAGAAAATCCTAACCGAAATTCGATCGAAAAATCTGGAACTGAAAACGAAAAGAAACTGTTGTAAGATGAATTTTTTCGGAAAAGTTTAAAACATGAAAAGTGTTCATAATAATGTTTTACTTTAGTTTATGCGAAACCAATAAAAATGAGCTTGTTTCGTGGGTTAAATCAGCCTCTAAAATCTATATTGCTAAAATAAATCAAAATTACAATAACCAAGATCATCCGATTATAAGTTCTAATCGATCTTTTTAATAAAAAGTTAAAACACAAAAGTTGTCTACAATCATATATACATGCCTCTACTCAAATTTCATTATTTACCGAGGTCGTTTACAATTTTTCAACTTGTACAAATTAATACAATTCACACTATAACAATAAACTCGTAATTAAATTCTTTGTACCTTAACTCCACCACTTCGGCCTCCACTTCCGGCCTACACATATATCTCATGTGTTTTCCGTATACCTAACACCGCTCCGAAGCCAAACTTGCACGGGAATATCATCCTGAGTTTGATCCACACTCTCTGGATGATTAGCATATACGTACGCGCGTAAATCAAAGTACTCGTCTACTTATGAGACGAGGCAATAATATACATATACAAAACATCTCACTCATGAGAACAATATAACAATGTCAAGCTTAAAGCATTCAAATAAATCTCAGAATCCTCACTTTTTTTTTATACACTCTACATTCTTTCTCACCATCACTCAAATAAAATAACAATCCATGGAGTCATGGTGGAGTATAAGGAATTTATCTATGGGTTCCTAGTTAATTTTAATTTTATATAACCATGAGTGTGATTATAACCATAAAATAAATCCATATAAAAACCCTAAACCTAACATACACAACTAATCAAAATAATTAAAATCAATCAATCAACTAAAAACCCTAAACCTTACATACACATCTAAACAAAATAATTAAAATCAATCAATCATCTAAAACCCTAAACCTTACATACATAACTAATCAAAATAATTAAAATCGATCAATCATCTACATACAAACATGAAATCAATTCAATATCAAATAAATAAAAATAATGAATTAAATATAAATCAAGAAAAGTAGATTTTATACTCATAATATTTTTTAAAAGATAAAAAAATAACTTAAAAAATTAATAAAACTATCAAAATAAAACCCCAATCTTTTTTATTCTTCTTTCTCCACCTACCCTTCATTTTTCCGCCGTTCTCTTTCTCTTTCTCGGAATTGATCTCCTCCTCTTATTGTTTTTGATTAATCAATCTCTCTCTCTCTCTCTCTCTCTCTCTCAGCGATCCTGATTTTTCGTAAGTCATTATTTAGTATTATTACTTTATTTTATTTTTTTGTCTTTATTAATTACGTGGTTATATGAGAATTTAATGTGATATTTAATTAATTTAATGTTTTATTTAATTAGTTTAATGTAGTATTTAATTATATATAATTAATCTGAATATATATATATATATATTAATATATATATATATATATTCAGATTAATTATATATAATTAAATACTACATTAAACTAATTAAATATTACATTAAATTTTCATGTAACCACACAATTAATAAAGATAAAAATAAAATCAAGTAATAATAAATAAATAAAGACTTACGAAGAAATCAGGGTTGCTACAATATACACACCTCAAAAGAATCTTGTCCCGAGATTCGATGAGAGAGAGTACTAAACAAAAAGCTCTGGGTGCAGATGCCGAACTTTCTCTTCCAATTCCCAAGTGATATCATTTTCATCCTCGCTCCATTACACTTTCACCAAGTTCATTTTCTTGCGTCACAACTGCTTTACATCTCGGTCTAGAATAGTAACCAGTCGCACCACATACGTTAGATCGTCACTAATCTCCAACACCTCTGGTGATACTACCTGGGAAGGGTCTTGCACATGCTTCCTCAATAAAGATACATGGAACGCATTGTGAATCATAGCTAAAGCAAGTGGTAGAGCTAATTTGTAAGCTACATTACCAATTCTCTCAGTGATCTTGTATAGTCTCACAAATCTAGGTGCCAACTTTCCTTTCTTTTCGAACCGCATGATACCCTTCATCGGCGAGACCTTCAAAAACATGAAATCTCCAACGTTCAACTCAACCTCCTTACATTTTCTATTAGCGTAACTCTTCTGACGGCTTTGTGCAGTCTTAATACATTCCTGAATAATGTTCACCTTTTCCGTGGTCTCTCTCACCAAGTCTAGCCCTAACAAGGGTGCATCTCCTACCTCCATCCAACAAATAGGTGATTGACATGGCCTCCCATACAAAGCCTCAAAAGGTGCCATCTTGATACTGGAGTGATAGCTATTATTATAAGCAAACTTCACCAATGGAAAGTGTTCTTCCCAACTACCACCAAGATCGAGGACACAAACTCTCTGCTCAGTTTGCCCATCTGTCTGAGGATGATAAGTCATGCTCAAGTCCAACCTAGTACCCAAAGCATGCTGAAAACTCTCCAAAAACTCTACTACACACAACGGATCGCGATCTAAAACTATAGAAACTAGTGCGCCATGAAGTCGCACCACTTTCCGAATATACAGCCTAGCTAGTTTATCCGTAGTTCAGTGAACACTGATACGAATAAAATGAGCAGACTTGGTGAGTCGATCCACTATCACCCAAATAGATTCATTGCCTCGCTTAGATCGCAAAAATCCATCCACGAAGTCCATAGAGATGTACTCCCATTTCCAAGCAGGAATCTCAAGAGACTGCAAAAGTCCAAACGGTCATTGGTGTTCTGCCTTAACCTGTTGGCACACATAACGTCGAGAAACATACTCTCCTACATCTTTCTTCATATTTTCCCACCAAAACATCCTCTTTAGGTCATGATACATCTTAGTCCCACCAGAGTAAATAGTATATCGAGACCTATGGGCATCATCCATAATCTTTTTTCTCAATTCAATAATGTTAGATACACATAACCTGCCCTTGAATCACAATCCCCCATTTGAGTCCACAAACCAATCAATAGGATAATCATCGATCAAATACACTACAAGGTCATCAAGCTTGCTGAAGGGAAACCTATCTAAATTCTACATCTGATGAACTTTACCTAATAACGTCGGCTGCACGGTCAAACTACCAATGTATGCCCTCTCATCACTCTCTATTGGTTGAACATCATGCATTGAAATTAACTCTAAGGATTTCCATTCCTGAATCACCAAAGAAGCTATAATCCCATGTTGTCGACTAAGTGCATCTGCAACCACATTTCCTTTTCCTGGGTGGTAAAGGATCTCGAAATCATAACTACTGACAAATTCAACCCACCTCTATCGCCTAATGTTTAACTCTTTTTGAGAAAAAAGATATTTGAGGCTCTTGTGATCTATGGACAAATCAAAGCACTCCCCAAACAAGTAGTGTCGCCACACTTTCAATGCGAAAACAACTGCTGCCAACTCTAAGTCATGAGTAGGGTATCGTCTTTTATGAGGTTTTAACTGTCGAGAAGCATAAGATACAACCTTTTGATGCTGCATCAACACACATCCCAACCCAGTTCCACTTGCATCAATAAAAACTATTAATTTTTCCCCTTGTACTAGTATAGTTAACACCGGTGCTGTAGTTAGCCGCTGCTTTAACTCTTGAAAAGCTTTCTCACATTCATCTGTCCATACAAACTTCACATTCTTGCAGGTCAACTTGGTCATGGGTATTGCAATAGTGGAAAACTTCTCTATAAATCTCCTGTAATAATCGGCTAGTCCTAAAAAACTTCTCACCTCTGTAGGGTTCGTAAGCTGCTTCCATTCTTTGACTGCAACAACTTTCTCAGGATCTACCGCTGTAGACACCTTATTTTTGACCGACCTTAGGACTTAGACATCACCAACTGA